AGCTATTGCAAATCGTGCTGCTATGAACATGAGGGTGCATATATCCTTTCTGATTGGTGTTTATAGTTCCTTGGGATACTAGAGCAATGGAAACTAAAGAGAAAATAAACAAATGGGACTACATCAAAATAAAAAGCTTCTGCAAAGCAAAAGAAACCATCAACAAAATAATAAGAAAGCCCACTGCATGGGAGAACATATTTGCCAATTTTATCTCTGATAAGGGTTTAATTTCCAACATTTACAGGGAACTCATACAACTTAACAAAAGGGATAAAACAATCCAATAAAAAAATGGGCAACGGACCTAAATAGACACTTTTCGAAAAAGAACATACAGAAAACCAAGAGACATATGAAAACATGCTCAAAGTCACTAATCATCCCAGAGATGCAAATCAAAACAACAATGAGGTATCATCTCACACCTGTCAGAATGGCTATCATCAACAAATCAACAAACGACAAGTGCTGGCGAGGATGCAGAGAAAAAGGAACCCTCGTGGACTGCTGGTGGGAATGCAGACTGGTGCAGCCACTATGGAAAACAGTATGGAGCTTCCTCAAAAAACTAAAGATGGAACTCCGATTTAACCCAATGATCCCACTTCTAGAAACATATCTCTTTCACCACTCTTCTTCAACTTAGTACTAGAAGTGCTAGTCATAGCGATCAGACAAGAAGAAAACATAAAAGGCATACAAATTGGCAAGAAGGAAGTAAAACTCTCATTATTCACAGATGACATGATATTATACAAAGAAAACCCTAAAGACTCCACAAAAAAACTATGAGATTTAATAAAATAGTTTGGCAATGTAACAGGATAGAAAATTAACACCCAGAAATTGATGGAATTTTTATACACCATCTTATGAATTCTCAAAAAGAGAGACTAAAAAATCAATTCCATTTACTATAGCTACAAAAAAATTAAGATAAAAAGGAATAAATTTAACCAATAAAGAAAAAGACTTGTATTTGGAAAACTATAGAACATTGAAAAAAAGAGAGAGAGGAAGATATAAACAAGTGGAAGAATATATTGTGTTCGTGATTTGTAGAATTAACATAATTAAAATGCCCATTAATCCCAAAGCTATAGATTCAATGCAATCATTATTAAAATACCAAAGGCATATTTCACAGATCTAGAACAAACACCCCAAAATTTATATGGAACCAAAAAAGACCCCAAATGGCTGCAGCAATCTTGAGAAAGAAGAACAAAGTTGGAGGAATCACTATACCAGATATCAAGTTATACCACAAAGCCACTGTACTCAAAACAGCCTAGTAATGGCACAAAAACAAGGATATAGACCAATGGAACAGAACAGAAACCCCAGTAATCGATCCAAGCAACTAGACCAGTGATGGCAAACCTTTTGAACTCAGTGTGTCAGCATTTTGAAAAACCCTAACTTAACTCTGGTGCCGTGTCACATATAGAAATTTTTTTATATTTTTAACCATAGTAAAACAAAGATTTATATTTTTGATATTTATTTTATATATTTAAATTCCATTTAACAAAGAAAAATCGACCAAAAAGAATTCGCATGTCACCTCTGACACGCGTGTCATAGGTTCGCCATCACTGCACTAGACTCAATTAATATTTGACAAAGGAGGAAAGAGCATATATTGGAGCAGAGATTCTCTTCAATAAATGGTGCTGAGAAAATCTGAAAGATGTATGCAAAAAGTAAAATAAAATTAGATCACCAACTTACATCATACACAAGAATAAACTCAAAATGGATAAAAGTCTTACATGAAAGATGTGAAACCATAAAAATTCTAGAAGAAACCATAAGCAGCAAAATCTCAGGCAACTCTCGTATCAATATGTGTGTGGATATATCTACTAGGGCAAAGGAAACTAAAGCAAAAATAAATGGGATTACATCAAAATAAAAAGCTTCTGCACAGCAAAAAAAAAAGCATCAAGGAAATATAACAAGAGTGCCTCCTGCATGGGAGACCATACTTGGCAATGATACATCTGATAAAGGGTTAATATCCAAAATATATAAGGAACTCATACAACTTAAAAAAGGAAGAGAAACAATCCAATTAAAAAATGGGTGAAGGACCTAAATAAACACTTCTCCAAAGTAGACATACAGATGGCCAAGATACATATGAAAAAATGCTCAAAGTCACTAATCATCAGAGAGATGCAAATTAAAATGACAATGAGGCATAACCTCACACCTGTCAGAATGGCTACCATCAACACAACAAATGACAAGTGCTGGGGAGGATGTGGAGAAAAGGAACCCTAAGTACACTGTTGGTGGGAATACAGACTGGTGCAGCCACTGTGGAAGACAGTATGGGGTTTCCTCAAAAAATTAAATATGGAACTGCCATTAGACCCAATAATCCCATTTCTAGGAATATATCCTAAGAAACCAAAAACAACAATCAGAAAGAATGTATGCATACCTTTCTTCATAGCAGCACAATTTACAATAGTTAAGATCTCAAAAAAGCCCAAGGGTCCATCAGTAGATGAGTGGATAAAAAATCTGTGGTACACTTATACTATGGAGTACTATGCAGAGAAAAAAAGAAGGATCTCTTACCCTTTGAGACAGCACAGAAGAACATGGAGAGTACTATGCTAATGGAAATAAGCCAGTCAGAGAAAGACAAGTATCACATGATCTCACTCATATGTGCAATCTAATGAGCAAAATAAACTGTTGAATAAAATATATCCAGAGACATAGAAGCATGAAACAGACTGTTGAATCTCAGAGGGAAGGTGGGAGTGGGTGCCTGAGAAGAGATCAACCAAGGAACTCTTATGCATATATTCATAACCCATGGGCACAGACAATAGGGTGGTGGAGGCCTGGGGAGGAGATTCCCCTTTACCAAAAATTTTTCCCATCAAGAGGTGGAGTGTGGGGGTGGGCTAGAAGGGGTCAATGGGGAAAAAAAGAGGACATATGTAACACTTTCAACAATAAAGATTTTAAAAATAAGAGAATGATGACAAAAAAAAAGCTGTATTCTTTTTTTCAAAGTGAATCTGGTTTTATTTTAGATTGTCAAAGTATACTTAAATTGTCAAAAGCTAACTTCATTTTGTTAAACATTTCAAACACCCCACCCAAAATAATAAGAAATAAAGTGATGTAAATGGCTGTTGAGTTTTTCCTAATAAAAGCAGCAGTTGTTCAAAAAAATTTTTTTCTATTTATGCCTAACAACCTTAGTTGGTTGTTTTTCCATTCCTCACTTCCCCCATCACGATTGCACTGAATGCATATTATCTTGTCACTTTGTTAAATATTTCCTTTCCTAAAGCAACAAGAAATAAATCATTTGTAAGAGCAAGTGTGTATAAAAGTTGTGTTCTTAGAAGTGGTCCCTAAAGACATAACTGCTGGCAACTTCTTCCTGAGCCTCTTCTCTTCTATCTGATTCACTTCTGACTCACTTCTTACAACCATTTAGCTTTGTTTCTTTAGCCTGAGAATTCTCCAAATGGTTTTCCCCCTTCATCAGAAATCAAAGGTTGAACACTGCTTTGTCAGAGCTCTGCTGTTCTTGAAAGTGGGGAGGAGAAAAGCTCACTAAAAAGAGCCAGGAGTCTAACTTTTTAAGCAAAGGGAAAATGCATTCTTTTGTTTGACTAGCATTTTCATCTACCCATGAGTTCTACAGATATTTATCAGTTTACCTTTGTTCCTGAAAGTTAGAAAGAATGCTAATAGTTGTTGGGAAGTAATCATTATAATCTAACCTGTTAGAAAAGATGATGCTGACTTTCACAATACAATGCATTGTTGGAAGTCATGAGTCAGACTGTGTTGAAACCTCGAGTGTGTATTATTATTCCAACATTCACAACCACCTTTCGGAAATGCTTGGAATAGTCTATACCCAGGTGAGAGTTAGTCTGATTGCTATTAGGTAGCAGCCATGTATTAGAAAGCGAAATGATGCTCAAGAAGCTATTCTGCTAGGAATTACAAACATGTTGAATAATGAGTATGCAAAGGTGCACAGTGACGTGTTTAATTTTCTCAGCTAAAGATTAATACAATGTAAATAACTAACAGTCCACCAACTTACACACTTTTTGCTCTAATGAACTCAATGAAATAAAAATAATTTAAATTGAACATTTGGTCAACTATTATGGATCCCAAATGTAAACTATTTATAATAAAAGGCTTTTGTGATGTAAAGATCTTATATGGTATCTTCTAAAATCACTATTTGAACAAGCTGCAATTATAATCTAATTGGCACACTCATGATTTTTTTTTACAAAGTAAAAAAAAAAAGTATATATTTGCAATAAAATTGAGCTGACTGCTATTTTGCCCAACATAGCAACTTTGGTTGGGGATTGAAAAATGTCCATATCAAGTACCTGAATGTGATAAAATACATGACCTTCAGGTTAATACATTTGGTCTCTGGAAAATAGAAGAATTCCACACATGCAAACTATGCATGGTGAACTGCTACTACCTGCCCATCAAAACCATACCTAAAAATGTTTAGCAAAAGCAGACCACGGGAATAAAAGACCAAGGTCATAGGGCCTGGGTCCTTTTCGTTTTCCATTTTAAAAAATGAAACAACCTTGGAATGCCATGTCTCCTCATTTTATAAAATAGAAATGTGGATTTATTCAGGAACCAAAGAAACAGACATTTTTTTCTTTTTTAAATCTCATCTTTTCACCAGCAAGTCTAAATGAGAATGTGATAAAAGTAGGGAATGTTACGAATAGAGTTTAACCCCTTCCCCAACAAATTTTTTGTTAAAAACGTTTCTTTTTCAGACTAATTTTTTTTATTTTGGTTCTATATAGTATTTTTGATGCTGGTTATGAAAACAGTTTGTAATTATTTTTTCTTTCCATTTTTGTGGTTAAGAATAGTATTTCCTCAGAAAGCTTCTAGATGAAATTATTTAGAATGGTACGTATGTACCCCAACATGAGCAGAATGAGGAACTGGCTTACCTCTGATGTGCCAAGCGCATGTTCTCCAGCTAAAAGCAGCATACTCAGTCCTCCCATTTGAGTAGGATCTAAGCCAAAAACAAATAAATCATCAATTTACAACCATTAAGTACATATAATCCACAGAGTCAAAAAAGGAAACTCACAAAGAGTAGCTATCAAAATGCAACAGAACCACATATAACTTTTTATAGAAAACTTTTCAAAATTCATTATGCCTGGCATATACATACTTAGTACTCATACTTTTGTCAGCCTTTTAAATAGCACTGTGGTCCCACCATTCCAACATAATACATTCTTCAATGCCATAGCTGTTTATAACATGAATTATCTCCTTAATCTGATGCTTCTTTCCTTACTGCCTGGAGGGTTTAGGTGGATTTTTTTAAACAAAAGAATGCTATGCTTATCTTCTAAGAAGTTTGAGATTGTTATTCTCAAATGGTTATTTATGCCATGTAAAATCAGGGCTGATACAAAGAATGAGGCTCTAAGAGGAACTAGAAAACAGAGACAGATTTTACAAATGGGCCTGCAAAATCTAGTAGGCTTTGTTCAAACACACTTTCTCTAAAACTTAAAATTAAAAATGATGTCTTTTTGACATATTAAATCTTAGGGATATAGTTGGGCCCTTCCTTGAAAATAACTTTAAGATTTAAAATGAATCCTTTTTATATTACTGAAGGTCTTTGTTTTCATTTCTTTAATAATCAACAGAAACAAAAAGACAAAATAAAAACAGCAAATTGACAGATCTCTGACCTGGGGTTATATCTAAACAAAGTAAGTATTACAGACAATTAGATACCTATATCCTTTAAGGTTGTCTTAAATATCAGAACTGCAATGAAATAACATGTGAAAATGCCTAACTCAGTGCCTATCATAGTACATGTAGGTCTTTAATCAATGAGTTTTTAGCCCTGGCCAGCGTGACTACGTGGCAATTCCCGGACAGGGCATGCACCCAGGTTGCAGGTTCAATACCTGTTTGGGGTGCATACAGGAGTCAACCAATCAATGTTTCTCTCTCTTTCTCTTTCTCCTTCTCCCTTCCTCTCTCTCTAAAATCAACAGAAACACATTTAAAAAAGCAAATAAATAAGTTAGGTTTTTTTGGGAATCTCTCTACAATTAAAAAGGAGGACCAGGTATACTGTTGCCTGAAGACATCAGGAGTTTCTTTTCTTTTTCTTTGTGGAATTCTTGTTTAAATGCATGCCCTTGAGTATATCTTTGTATACAATCTGTCTCCAAGAACTCATGAAGCAACTCTGACCACATTTTAAAAATTGGAAAAAAAAATAAATCTGAGGTAGTTAAAAAAAAAAAAAGGAAAAGATAATTAGAGGGGAAAATATGTCACCATATGATCAGGAGGTCAAGCTTAATGTTGAAAGGTGGCCACAGGAAGACACACACATAGAGTACACAAGAGCATGCTGATTTGATGAAATAAGGCTTTTTATAGTCAAGAACTATTGTGGCTGTTAAAATAGATACTTCAATCTATTTAAAAATAAAAATCAGGAGGGGGAAATGAGTTTAGCAAAATGGAAAAGTTTAATTTGGTTCTCTGGGCAGTTAAATAATTTTGCAGCTATCATTTTAGAGATCAAGAGGATTGGATGATGGCATTCTAATAAAGATAAAAATGTGTTACTTCAAATGATAAAGTAAAATAAGAACATACATATGATGATTTTAAGTTATACACCAATGTGACTTTGCAAGAAGTCTGATGTAATGACACGAAAACACAAAGAAATTACCAACATACCTTATATTAATTTATATTTATATAATGTTAATTACAAATATCAAAAATATATTTATATAAAGAATATGTTTTCCTTTCACCGAGAGTGCTTGTTCTAAATTAAATTCTATATAGCTTTCCCTTCTTGGAAATCATACAACTGACTGCTTTGAGGTTATTCAAAATAGCAAAATGCTGTGTGACAAAAACTACTGGGAAAACAAAAAACAAAAAATGAGATTCCATGTTGAGGAAAAGCTTAAACTGGCCCCCAAGAGTCCTACAGTAACCCTTAGATTCAAACAGCTAAGGACCATGTTTTAATTAAAGGCAAATTAATGTGCTTTCATTGTATTGAAAAGGGAATAACTGGAAGTATCAGCTAATGTTACCTTGTTAAGTTACTGTATACTTAACAAGGGCTCTGATCCTAGATTTCCAACATCCATCACAAGTCTTTACATGAAATAAATGCAAAAAAGATGTTTTTTTCTTTCCTATATTTTGCTCTAAAGAGCACAGTTCTTAAAAGCTGACTTGTACATATCTTGGTTGAAAGTCTGGGTCCCACTTTTAATTTGTAGGTATGTAAGTTAGATTTATAAACTGTCAGAACTGGTACTATAAACAGATACCATTCATAGCTTTCTGTAATTTACCTACAATTATGTTTGGTTTGTAAAGAGCCATTGTGTTCAAAAAATAAAAACAAACAAAAAAACTACACAGACTGACCTAGATTTAAAATTGAAAGAAAAAGCAATGGAAGATAAATAATAATTGAAGGAATTCAGTTAGAAACCCATTGTCCATATATTCTTTTTTGGTCCTGATAATAAGATGTTTTATAAAACACTCCAATGGTGTGGGAAGTCCAGAATGCTCACCAAGACTACTAGCAAGTGGTGTGAAGCTAAAATAGTACAAAGTGACAGCTAAAATGAGGAAAGATCTCCATTTTGATTCTTCTGGGATATGTAGAAGTATCATTTTGGAAGCTAGCCTAGAATTATACTACGGACACCTACATAACAATCACCCGAAGACTTGTTCTCCCAAAATGCCACCATTATATTAGAATGCATTCCTTAGGCTTATAAATGACACCAGCACATACTTTGTCATATTATGATTAAATCACATTAGGCCTACTGGCCATAAAAAAAAACACACAAAAAAGTGTCATCACAATATTGTTCAACCTCATTCCCAAGTTCTCTATATTACAAATGGTTAAGTGCTCTCATTCAGAAGAAAATTGCTTATAAGAAGGACATAGGAATCCTATAGCTCAACCTCAACTTCACTACTTTCCCCTGCCCATCTCTCAATTTCATCCTGGAAAATTCCTCTTTTGAGTACTACCATGGCAATTTCCAGGGAAGACAGAGCCGTTTACAGGGTGAGTATAAATACTTTATTTCACAGTTATAACTGCTTTAGCATTCCTTACCACCCAAAGAATATTAAAGGTCCCATAACAAATGGGGCCATCTGGACTTTAAAATTTGCCTGGCTCATACAGGATTGGGTGCAGGATGGGAATTCCCTCTAAGAAACATTTGTCAGGTCCATCTCAGACTTGTGACGAAGTTGTTCATATTCTTGCCCTAGATGATACACCCTCAGATGATCTACATAATTATGGCTCTTTAAGTACCCATCCTAACTAAGGTGCTTACTCAGATAGCTTACAGTGTATGTCTGTAAACTATGTTGTTGCATTATAAAATTCCCTGAGCTCCTGACCATCTATCTCCACATTGCTGTCTGCTTTTCCATGATGACAGTCAGGAATTCACACCTCCTTTAATTATACATATGCATTCTATGTATGCTCCAAAGCTTTAAGATATGCAATATTGCCACTATTTCCTACTGATTATACATTTTGCTTCTTTCTCTATTTTATTCTATCTCTCTCTCTCTATTATTTGGGTAAGGTACTGCCTAAATAAAGAACTGGTAGAAACAGTATCTAAACTCACCGGCCATTCCAAAGTTAAGTTGAGGCATTTCTTCAGTCTTTGCTTTCTTGGGGCTTGGCAAGTCTCTTGAAGAGTCAGATGGGAAGGCCCATAGTTTCTTTCGTGAATTGACAGTGGGTGTTGGGGACTTCACAGGCTTGTTTGTGGTAGGACACCATTTGTAGCCAGGATTTGCCTTCATAAATGCATCTTTATACTATAAAGAATAAGTAACAGGTTTTAATGAACACGTAGATTGAAAATGTTCTAGCAGACTTCACATCATTACCCTATATAGATAATGATTGAAAAAAAAACCCAAACCCACTTTCAGTAATTTCAATGCCTTTCCTTGTAGTAGAGATGACAATTCAGAACATAAATTCATTTACTAAAAAGTTCATTTGTGGGATGAGGGTACAGAAGCAGGCATATTTTTATCTTTTATCCCTCAATATTTTATTAATATACAAAAAGCTGTCTGACTTTGGTGGAGAGACGGAGTTATTTGTCCTGTTAAGAGCAAAAGGCTTTGAAGACAGAAAACCCAAAGTTCAAACCCTAACATTTCCACTCGGACTATGGCGGCCAAAGATGGAGACCAGAATTGGAGAATGTTACACATCTGGGCCTCAGCCTTGGTCTCCACAGATGGGAAATAACACCAAATACCTAGGGTTACTGTAAACAGAAGTGCATAGCATGGTATCTGATACACATTACAAAGTGTGAACAGGCCAGTGACCAGGTTCTGCTCACTGTTTACTTTGGTAAGTAAAGTGAAAATTAACCTGTGCTTTGATGTAGGCAAACCTAACAGAGCAAAGTAATCAGCTATGGGATAAATGAACCAAGATTGAGAACAGAAGAAGGGGAACAAGGTAGGGCCACATAATATATAACTTTCAGTCATCTGAGGATGCAAGGCCACATAGAAGAAGGAGTACTGGGTGCAGATTCTGGGGACCTGAGTTCAAAACCCATCTATGCTATCAGCCATCTGTGGACATTAAGCAAGTTGTTTAACCTTTCTCAGCTTCAATTCCCCCATCTGTAAAGTGTAACTGCACCTGCCAACATCCCAGGGCTTTGTAATGAGCACACGTATTCACTAATGTGAATGGGCTTAGAGCTGTAATGTGTGATGTTGCAATTAATCCATCACAAACTTTGTCTTTACTGAGAGGTTTCAGCCTTCACTGACAGTGTCCTTTCTCCTTTATCTTCCTGTAGCTTTCTCCAGTAGCTCTTTCTCCCACATCTGCCACTTCTTTCCCCTTTCCTGACTAAATTAAATAAAAACTATTTACTGCTATTTATTATACACTAGAGGCCCGGTGCACAAAATTCGTGCACTCGGAGGGGGCTAGGGGGAAGCTCTCCCTCAGCCTGGCCTGCACCCTCTTGCAGTCTGGGAGCCCTCGGGGAATGTCTGGCAGTTGGACATCCTTAGCACTGCTGTGGAGGTGGGAGCCCGCCACCGCTCCCACTGTGGGAGAGCACTGACCACCAGGGGGCAACTCCTGCATTGAGCATCTGCCCCTGGTGGTCAGTGCACATCTTAGTGACCGGTCCTTGGGCTGTTTGGTTGATTTACCTTTTATTATATACAATTGCCAAAAATTGTCATCCAATAAAATGGATTTTCCATGTGTTCTTCAACTATTATATGTTATTACTGCTGGACGCTCTATTAAATTAATGCAATTCTTTTAATCCCATAAGTTTGCCTTTTAAAATGGTCTCTTTGTGTATAAAATGAACTATCACTATAAGCTCCAAAGCTTTTTATTTAGCCAAATGGTAAATAAAGTTTCCTTTACCCTTGCTATAAAGTATATGTAATCCAAACAACGAACTTTTTTCAACACTTCACTTAAAATCATATAGAAAATTGTACTGTAACTAGTTAATGGCTTAGAATTATTTAGAATTATCTTCATTCAAATTTTTCCTTTTTTGTAAATAAAAACTGTATATCTGACTACTGATATACAGGAACATACAGGAGGAAGGTAACCATGAAAAACTGTAAGATACAGTTATACTTTTCTTACAAAAATAAATAAAATGGGACACAAAACCAGAAGAAACTAGAATTTACCACGACATAGCGGAATGTATTAGGAGATACCAAATGTGATAGAAGAAATACCCTATCCTACATGTGCACGGGGGCATTTACATATTAAGCTGGGCAGACAAATAGCCTGGCCTGCTGTCCGGAGGTGGAAAGTGACAGATGGCAGGGAGAGGTGAAAATGGAAGTAGCAGACACATGCATCACTATTGTGTTTCAGTGGAAGACACACAGGCTAGGTTTGTCAGATGAACAGTCATTTGGACAAAGGTCACTACTCTATAAAGTGACAAAGGACTTTCAAACAAATGAATTAACATAGTTGTCATGAGAAATTTTCAAGAATTTGGCAGTTTTATAAGAAGAAAGTTCCAGTTATGAAAATTTCAATTACTACAGTAAGTCCTGACAACTTTGGAATTTGTGATCTTTCAAAGGGGTATAGATAAAAGTTAACTTTTGCACCGTTTGAATAATTCATGTCATAAACTATTTTGTGAGAAGAAAGTTTATACTGTTTAAGGAAATTACTAAACCTCAGTGAACACATTAAAAAAAAAACCACCAAAACAAGCATTTTACAATTCAAATGAGTTAACATGAATTTATCTATTTTACACTTTCAGAAATGTAGATAGTATTACTCACTCAGATCCATATTCACTTTCTAAAAAGTAACAAAATTAGATTAAAAAGAAATTCTGACATTTTGGTGTTTTATTAATACAGACTTACTAAACTGACTTTTCTCCTAACTACCCAAATTAGGGGGTAAAATTATTCCTTAAAATGTTTTTATATATGAAAATTGCCACAGTAATCCTTATAGCCAATTTAGATAACAGAATCAAAGGTTAGGTCTTATGTTCTGTTTTTCCTTTATGACTTCTCCATAATAGAATAACCAAGCCATTCCATAGCCACTTAACCAAGTCAGTTTTTGAAGTGTGTGGCATTTATTGGAGTGGTTTTATCATGCAAGTTTTGCAGGTTAATCTATAACTTAAAATATTTTTGTTCTGTCAAAACCATAAACTTAATTCAATGTTCTATCACATCAAATAGTCTAATTTTCTTTCTAGTAAAGATAACTAAGCAACAATAATTCAGATCAGATAATGTTATTGTGTCTAATTTTTAAAATTTTTGTGAGGGAAAGGTTCTAGAACTAAGGAAGTAGAGATTAGTGCCATTTTTTAAGTCTTCCTTTCCTCTTTCACCCATGTATAATGTGATTTCTGCCTGCCACAGAGAACTATAGCTGTTTCAAAATGTATGTTAGGGGTTCACTTAGCCCCCTGCAGTTATAAAATAAAAAAGTGTTATATCTCTTTTTAAAATATCAGATAATTTCCTGTGCAATCTCTCCTCCAAAATTCCAGCAGATTTTATTTTATGGAGATATTTCACCTATTTGCACCAGAATCAGCTATCTTTGTTTGTATAGGCATTCCCAGGGTCCCTTTTTACTTATGGTCCTCACCAGGGTTGCTTGCCATTCTCTTTCACTCTGTTGAGCTCTAGACTGTATTAATAACTAGAAATACTACTGGACTTTTAGGTAGCACCCCTTTCCCCACATTAAAAACAAACTGTTGGAGCATAGTTAATAAATTTAAAATCAAGTTGCCAATCTCATCAATGATCTGGAAAATTAATGTTGAGACCCAATTTTTAAAACATTAACATAAGGTGCCCAGTCAGTGTGGCTCAGTGGCTGAGCTTTAAGCCATGAACCAAGAGGTCACTGGTTCAATCCCAGGTCAGGGCACACGCGCGAGTTGTGGGCTCAATCCCGAATGGGGGAAGGGAGGGTGTGTGCAGGAGGTGCAGGAGGCAGCTAATGAATGTTTCTCTCTCATCAATTTTTCTCTCTATTCCTCTCCCTTTCTCTCTAAAATCAATTAAAAATATTTTAAAAAGATAAATATAAAGTCTTGTCTTTGGTATATAACAATGCCATTGTCACATCTGAAGTAGGCAAAATGCTGTCATAAAATGGATGCATTTACTACCATCACTGAAGAACAGTGATTCAGTATTATTGCTAATGAAATGTGGTGGTGGTTGGGATGAGACAGAAGGGAGCCCGCATTTACTGAGCACCTTGTAAGTCAGGGGCTGTGTCTGTAAAGTAGAATCACTTTAGGTTATCTAATGAGTTGGAAACTTGTGGGAGGGAAATGGAAATCATGAGGTGACTTTTTACTTTACTAGGGGATTTTTAAAAATTATATTTAGTAAATTACTTTTGAGGTAGTACCAGTAGCCCAACATGGATGCTCTTAGAAGATAACTGAGTTTTCTCTCCTACCCTCAGCAAGAATCCAGATGAGTGGAGTCGATCTCTTTGGCCCTTTTAATCCTGTGATGATGGATTTTTGCCCACATGGTTAACCAGAATGCTAACAGTTTCACTCAGCTATTTGCTTCAGACTAATACACTCTTCCTTCATTTCTTTCTTACACAGACTTCTCTGTAATTCCTTTCCTTAATAACCTAATCACAAAGAATGATTAAGCTTTTCTGTTGTCTCTTACAGTTGAATCAGATCAAGTGATTGATGAGGTGCCTAGTTTCAGGGACAGAGAGACATCCTCACAGCCTGAGGCTCTTTCTGCTTCTGACCACACTTGTTCATACACTGTTTGCATTGACCTGTGAGTCTTTGTATGAATTTACAGCTTCTCCATGTAATCATTAAATTCCTATTCTCTTCCCTATCGTCCACATTTTTAACTCCTTTGCTCAATATGTACATGATTGGACTAATGAATACTGTCTTGGTACTGCTCATTTACATTGAATTTAAGATTTTGGAAGATTAATATTGTGATAGTGACAGTGTATTGATCTTCATAGTGATTTCTCTTTACTGTTTTCCATAAAAGCCACACACTCCAGGGCTTTTGCTTGGCCTTTGTTCTTCAACCCATAGGTAGCTTCCCCTTTTACCGACCCTTTGAAAAACCATTTTTTCATGCCTGAGCCAAGGAAAAGCCTATGGACCATGTATAAAAAGAAATAATATAAGGTAGGGCAAAAGTAGGCTTACAGTTGTAAGTACAGGAAAACACAGTTTATTCTTGTATTATTATTATTATTATTATTATTATTATTATATTATTTTCCATAT